AAACAGGAAGGATGATTAAAAAAAGATAAAGGCTAATGGGCTGTGAGCTGCTTTTGACCAAACACCGGGATCTTTCAGCTGCTTTGTAAATGATTCAGATACATTTATAGAAATGTTTTGCTTCTATTTTGTGATTCCAAGTACGGGACTAATACTAAGATGCTAATTTTAAATGATGTTTTGGCCTTTGTCACTATCTAGTTCTAACTAAATGATTTATCTGTGATACGCATGTGGATAAGAACTCACAGCTGATGAATTAAAAAGCAGAGGAGAAAGGACATGTTTTCATTGCATTATAAACTCCTTAATGTCTTCAGAGCTTTAAAACCACTTAATTAAAGCTTTAATAAAACAATTCATACTTTGCACCCAGTGCACAAGCAGCATTAATGCTGGCCCATGTTTGGGTATGGATGCTGCAGTTCAGGGCTTGGCTCCTGAGTGTTGGGGTGTGGGGCTTCTGCTGTGTTAATCCAGATCCTGTGTATTTTACGACCTTCTGCTTCCAACCTATCCTGCCTGCAAAAGACCAGAGCCCACAGGCTCCTTGATCTCATAGTACTGTTTGCAGCAGACAGAGGAGTGATTTGAGGGGATGATGATATTCTTTTTCTGAGCTGGTGCTACAGGAGAGTTTTGAGGTCCCAAATGCATTATAACACAAGGGCAAATCTGCTGTTTAGTGGGCACGGAGACCTTCTTGAGTGCAGTGGCTATTGAGGGGACTTAAAAATGTGAGAATGAGGGAGAATAAGGTAACTTCTTAAAAATTTTTTTCAGTGGCACTTTCAGTGACTGCCCCCACTTCACTGCTCCATCAACTTGTGTCTATTCAGTGCTCAGCTACAACCTTTGCAGCAAATTTTTTGAAATCACAGCAGGAGCAGAAAGCAGTCTCTGTCCTCTTCAACCGAGAAGATGACAGCAGAGGAGGTCACTGATGACACGGGGAGCAGCTGCAGTGTGGCAGATCCGTGTGTTGCAGGTCAGCGTGGCCCTGGGCGAGCGTGGGCTCCACTGTTTGCTCTTCCTAACACGATTGCTGCCTCAGACACCAAGCTGGCAGCCAGTTCAGAGCATCTCCTCACTCGGGCTTGCTTGTCAATCTGTGCCTGCCCTTGTCCCTTGCTCGGTCCTTGTCCCTTGAAATCTGTGCTTAAACATAAATATTGTCCTCCCTCAGAGTATTAATTGCAAATGTACTGATGAGTGGGAGGTCCCTTTTCCTCTCGCATCTGGCTTGCTCTCTGGAGCTGTGCCACACTGAAAGTGGGTCATGTCAGAAAACTGAGGAGTGAGGAGGACCATGGCAGCTGTATCACTACTCTGATTTTGCTGGTTTGAAGTCATTATATGACTTCTTTCTAAAGGGATGCCGTGAGGTACTCAGTCCTCAGTACAGCAGAGGAGGAGGACAGAGTTTCAGTGTTCCCCCTTCCTCTCCCGAGGAATCCCAAGGGAGCTGGAGACAGTAGGAGACCTGCAGAGCAGTTTCAGATAATTCTGATGGAAAAAAATATATGATCATTTTGGTGCATCAAAATTCTACCACACTTTCTGCTGCTGAATGCAGCACTCAAGGGGAGCATCCTTGCTTCTAACAAACTGCATTTCTTTAAAAACCTCAAACTTATTCATAATTATAAATTTGGAAACCAAAGTAGGTGACTTTGCAGATGTTGAACGAAGCTGAAATGCAGATGTTGGTGCAGATGGCACGGAGCATGATTTAGCCATGACGACAGCAAAAATATGTGGGACACCATTCCTCATATCACCCTGCAGTATAACACATTTTCCTAACCGTGAATGTTATTTGTGGACTTTTTCCAGACCACAGTCTGCATATAATATAGTCATCTTACTCAGCCTGGCCAAAGAAGCTCATATAAAATATTCATTTAATGATTTGAACTGAAAAGGCTGTTGCTAAGAATGGGCTTTGTATCAAGTCCTGATATAAAAAGAACTTTTTTTCCTTCAATTTGTGAGATGTGTTTAGTTTATAGGTGCTGAGTGAATATTTCCACCCTCAGTAAGAGGTTCCAGGGACCAGTAAATTTTGGCTTGTGCTAGAATGAACTTATACCTATTTAAAAGAAAGCAAGCTCCTGCAATTTGTATGCAGGGAACATAGATGTTGTATTCTAATCCCTATGCCACAGTTCCATGAGGTTCACAAGCCTCAGTCTGTTCTGAGCACGTGCCTGGAAGTTTATTTGATGCCTGTTGCTGATGAGGAGGCTTAAGCACAAGAGCTGAAGGCTCATGGCTCTGATGTGTTGCTGACCTTGGCAGCTGAGCCTGCCCATCGTCAGCCAGGGTGGCTTTGTTCTGCTTGGTGCCCACAGCAGGGCTTGGCCAGGGCATGGCACACCCCACTGCTGCCCTGGGAGCCCGGTGTGCCTCCCCTGGCCACCCTCTCCTGGCCTCGCACCCGGGGTGATTCTGCTGCGCCTGAGGCTGCGCCTGGTGGATCTTCCTGGCTATTTCATCTGCTTTCCTCACCTCCGTCCTGATCACACCTGCTTTGCTGCTCAAGTCAAGCCAGCTCAGAAAGCTGAGCAGGTTGAAAATGAGGAATTTGTCCTTTCTTCCCCTGCTTGCTCTCTCTCCTTATGTTTCTTTTGGAACTGAGAGAACTCTGGTGCCAGATTACACCCGGCTTGTAGGAATCCACAGCCTCAGACAACCAGAGTCAGGTCTAGTTTCCAGCCCTACCTGGATTTGCACAGCTCAGCCTGTCCAAAGAAAAACTGTATGTGATGGGTGAAAAAACCAGGGTCAATATCTGAATTTTTTTTTTCTTTTTACATTTCCAAGTCTCAGTATATTTACTGCAAGGGGGTTTTTCTTGACTAGGATCGCACTACAAGTGTAGTAGTAGATCTGTGCTCTGATAGACAGAATTTTTCTGCATGCAGTCATGCCAGATGTTCAGCCTAAGGATGTTATGAGTAAAGTATCTAGTTTTTAAAAATAGATTTTCATTTTCATATGTTTGTCCTGTCAAAAGGTGGAGAATAGATGGTCATGCAAATTAAGTTATTAAATTTTTATAATTTTGTCCTTGTCTTTGAAAAAAACTCACCATCACTTTCATCCTGAAGAATTGCTGAATCTCTTCTGCAACCTTCCCACACACACTTATTTCCCACAAAATGCAGTTGATCTTAAAACATTTTATTCAGCGACAATGCTTTTCACATTGACACAGCGATCTCAAAAACAAAACCACTTCTGAATTAGGCAATTTGTTACTGTTTATTTTGGTGGTGTAAAGCCTGTCTCCTAGAAGAGGAAATCCTTTAGCTGAACAGTTTGCAAGCTATTTTTCTGTAGGGGAATTTGTTTGCTACAAATTGTTGTAAACAATCTGACACGCCTGAGTGAGACATCACCTGCATTTGCTCTCATTGAAATCCCATCTGGCTGGACTTTCTGCTTTTCTCTTCTTTTTTTTTTTTAATTTTTGCACCAAAGTTAAATAATAATCCCAAAAATGCCTGTGTAGTGTAACTAGCTGGCTAGTGGGCATGAACGCATTACATATAGAAACAGAATTAGACCGAAATCTGCATTACAAGAGGTAATTAAAATTACTACTGCTGATGTGACTAATGCTATTAAAGCATTAGTGATAGGTCAGGCCCTGCTCCAACTGGCAGCTCCATTCATTCGCTGAAACAGGGCCTTTCCATAAAAACTGGTGAGTGCAAAAGTGCCTTATTAAACTGTGAGAAGAGATGAAAAATACCTTAACACGCTTTAGAGGGGATGAATGACACACAAAGCTGACGCCTGCACTGCAGTGAGAGCAGCCACTGGTGCTGCTGTTAGGCAGACAAAGCCATGTTACTCTTAAGCATTCCCCTAATTAAAAATAAATGCATATTAGGAAGCTCTGCAAATCCCAGGAACATGAAAGAGGAGTGTTTGCTGAATTTTTGAGCAGTGAAATAACACTTCCAGTCCTGGTGAGACAGGGAAAAGCACAGTTGCTGCTTTGATTTCCCTGAGGTAGCGATGGGCATTAAAGCAGGTGAGAGATGTACAGCCTGGGGAAAATTTTGCCCTGAATTTTTATGATTTAGAGAGACACTGTCAGGTCAAATATGCTCTGCAATGAAATGTTATTAAAGCCAAAACCCAAACCCTTCCCTTCTGAACTGAAAATACAAAAAAAAGTTTCACTCATTTCTTCTCCCTTTCTCTCAAAATCTTCTGCAGTGCCCCTTCCCCTCCACTCATGACAGAGTCCTCCTGCAGTGCTGCATCCAGCTCTGGCCCCAGCACGGTAAGGACACAGACTGTGGGAGTGAGTCCAGAGGATGGACATAAAGATGGCCAGGGGGCTGGAGCACCTCTGCTATGGAGACAGCCTGAGAGAACTGGAGATGCTCAGCCTGGAAAAGAGAAGGCTCCAGGGACACCTTACAGCACCTTCCAGTACCTAAGGGGGCTCAGGAGAGCTGGAGAAGGACTTTTTACAAGGGCATGTAGCAACAGGACAAGGGGGGAATGGCCTGAAAGAGGGCAGGTTTAGAACTTCCACCCACCCCCATGGCCATGCCTGGGGGCATGGATGGATCCTACGGGCCCAAGGAACAAGAACTGAAATGCAACAGACATCTCCTGAAACAAAGATAAAACCAAATACTACAGAAAGGTAACTGTAATGCTGTAACTGTAATGAAAGGTAACTGTAAATGACAACTATACATGAAGTATAATTTAGAGGCATAATCAAACAAAAGATTAAAACTGGATTTATCATAGTTTTCCTTTAAATAGCACTAATTTTTTAATTATAAAGATAACAGTACTGCATTTAAATCTGTGGTGAGAAGATTTATCTGCACAAGTAGTGTAGAAAGCGTCCAGTGCATCTGCTAATTAATTGCAAGAAAAAGATTATTTTTTCAGGACTGCTGGCAATGAAGGCAGATGTGCTAAAGGAATTTCCATGTAAACACACATTTAGTAAGAGCCTTATCAATATTTCAATACTTTATTGCATTTAGTATCTCATCATATGTTTACAGGACCAAGATATTTTTATTTTGAAGCACACTTCCCCTTAGTAGCAGCATCTGTGTGTATGTGCATACATGTGCATTTGTCCCAACCAGGGAAAACCTTCTAAACCTTCTCCTCCCAATTCCAAACAGGAACTGCATCTTCAATCTCTTTGTTTTCACATATATAGTTATCATAACAATGCTAACAAGACTTTGAAAAATGTCTTCCGTCCCCTCTTGTCATAAAGAGTTTGAAAGCTGACCAGGCTTCAAAACTCATCCTAAACAGGGGAGATTTTTGATGGTCTGGTAAAGATTTTTGCTGCAGGACTGATGGACGAGAGAACGACCACCATAAGCTGGATCCTTTAAAACACCGATGGTTGTATTTAATGAGACCAAATTAATTTGCCTCTTCCCTTCTAAAGATACTGCTCAAGGTGCAGCTTGATCAACTGCAAGACTAAGAGAAAAATTAAAATAATTGCAATTCCTCCTTCAGATTTTTGTAGGCATTCTTCCTGAATGTTCTGTTATTCAGTTACTCTGTAATTAGTATCAGTTATGATGCACATCCCCCACACCAGCGTCATTAAATCATACATTCAATTCATCGAGTATTCCACTGTTCCCAAAGAACTACAAAATAGCTCTTCTTTAGTACATAAAGAGGAATTATCACCTTATGGGACAAGCCAAACACCAACTGATTGAATCATAAAGTAAGTCTTTACAACTAACTTGGATATTAAATACATTCTAACACAGATATCTTGCTAAAATACTTTTCCCTCTTCCTTTATAAAAAAATAATTTATTTTTTCATGCCTAAATCTCTCCTCCAGTTTAACCTTCAAATGACCCAAGAAAAACAGACTGTGAACATGCTCTAGCAAAACACTAGTAACCTTTTTGTCTTCTGATTGAAGAGCCAACCCCATGTGCTGAGGCCATCTGAGGGATTCTGTGTAACACTGCAGTGGGTGCAGCATCATCAGCTGTGCAAAGGAATTGTGCAAAGTTTCCTTCTTGGAAATGCTGCCTCTTGGGTTCTTAAGAGTGTTTTGACCCTTTCCCGTTATTTTTCATAGGCAGAACTGAACCAAATTTTTTTTGTTTCTTTTACTTCTTAACAGCCACTTTCTCTAGGTCTGACAACTCGGAGCACTGTGCCTGATCAGATAATGAATGTTTACGCGTGATGGTCCGTGTTTCCAAACTGCTCCATTGTTCCCAGTGTCGGGTGAAGCCCTGATGCCCATCGAGACAAGAAAACAACAGGAGAGGAAGGAAGGATTTCCTGCCTGGCAAGAGCAGGCCTGTTTAAATCAGAGATGGAGTTAACCATCCATTCAAACATATGCACCTGAAACACTGACACAGATTGCCTGGATCTGCCTTGCACAGGATTACCAAATCCCAGTGAACTGTGTTTAATGAAACAGGGGGACATGATTCCATAGTGCTGGCAACATGGCAAGCAGAGGAATGATCACAGATTGTCCTTTGTTTGTTTGTCCCTCCAGAAAAGCATTCATTGTGTTGCCATCCTCTGCCCTTTGAATGTGCTGAGTCGCTTGAGAGACTCTGGGGGAAATTTACAGCCTGGCCGTCATGTAGATTATGGTTGCTTGGCTGATTAAAGAAGGGTATGTATTTTATTAATAATTGTGTTTATCCTCAGCTTTAGGGTTTGTACCTCCAGCAGGAGTGGGTTTCCCCTTTGAGTTCACACCCGGTGACATCAGTGATGCTTAGGCACTTGACAACAGGGTAGATGTGAAGATCTGCTGCAAAATTTGAGGGATCTCTTTGGTATCCATGGCAATGAAAGACCGACCTGCTGGCAGTGTCCTCTGCAGCCTAAAAAGCAGAATGAGGGACAAAACACAATTAACACCTCAAATTATCTTCCCTACCACAAGATTGGATGCCTCACATTGCTGTCACCATGCAATTAAAGGTTTGGGAAAGCAACAAAGGGAGAAACACTGAGAGCAGGCAGGGCACAGAGCTCCTTTCAGCAACACAAACAAGAGTGCTTCCAGAGATTTCTATCCACATCCTCTTTCTCACATGCCAGAACTCCACTTAGATCAAGGTCCTGGTGATCCCCTGAGGTGTCACCACAAATGATTGCTGAGGACAGCTACAGGTTTACACTGGAAATGAAGATATCCTAAGTTGACGACTGTGAACCCAAAGCTCTTTCAATTCAACAAGTCCAATGATTCCAACTATGCTCTTTCTATTTCTTCTTTGACATGGCTGCAGGTTACACAGAAATGTATTCTGCCAATAGTAACCTGACATTTTTATTCACAGCTTAACCCACCCTTAAAAGTCAAACTACATGCATGTTACAAATCCCAGTTCGTTCATGTCCAGTTAGCAGGCTTGGGATTTATTTTTTCTATGCTTTTTACAGGAGATTTTGCTCTACACTATTCCTCCAAGTGAGTAAACTCTCACTTTTAAAATTAGTTTAAAAAATACTGCAGTAAAATGCAGTAAAAATACTGCAGTAAAGTTAGTTTTAAAAATAATGCAGCAAAAATACTGCAACAGAGAATTCCCTTCTTCCCCCACAGCAGTTACAGGAAGGCTTTGTCTAATTCTGCACTTCCACATACATAGAAATGCATTTCAGTGACAGCACTGTGTGCATTTTCCATACCAGTGAATTAGGCCATTATAAGATCTCTTACACAGCAGGGCATGGTCAAAGATTATTTATTTTATTTAAAAAATTTATATCAAAAGTAAAGGGACTTTCTGTAATTATAATATTTCAGAATTGATTCTGTTTTGATGATCAACACTCTCTGATGTACAGACCTGCAGCCACAACTCATGGTGTCTGTGCAGTCCTATCTTTCAGCCCTTTACTGCTTAAAATTATCTACTGAGGGCCAGCTCCCTTTCAGATTTCCCTCATTCTCCTCTAGTTGAAGACTCAAACAGAAAAGACACTGTTGATATTTGTGGCTATGCCAGCTTTTTGCTGTAGGTAGTGGTCCTCACTGGATATGGAACCTGAAAGAACATCAGGGACAGAATTTCTTTTTTTCCCCTTGTGCCCAAACATTTTAAAGTGAAATTATGTAGGAGAACTAAACCCAAGCATACTGTCTCAGAAACTCCAAAGAATTTATGTCTTTAACACAAGGGGTGTATCTGAATCAAACCTTTGGCTGTTTGGAAGACAAGTCCAGCATCTTTTGTTTTAATCTCTTTTCTTAGGTCTACACACACTGGAACCATATATTGGGCAATACCGAAGGCACTATTATGATTACATGGTGACACTACATAAGGGTATAGTGCACATCCAGCAGCAGGAGGATGGCATCAGCTGCTCCCTTTGGATGCACAGGATGCTCTGAACTTGCTGGCTATAAGGATGTCTGCAGATCCACAAGCCAGTCTCCTCCCTGACACAACTCAGGAGCTACAGCTTCTTGCCAGTACATTAATAATGAAAATAGTAAAAAAAGATGCATGAAAACTTGGATGTGACCTGTCAATGTGCACTTGCAGCCCAGAAAGCCAGTTGTACCCTGGCTTTCTTTCATCAAAAGCAGCACAGCCAGGAGGGTGAGTGAAGTGATTCTGCCCCTCTACTCCACTCTGGTGAGACCCCACCTGGAGTGCTGTGTACAGCCCTGTGGTCCTCAGCACAGGAAAGACATGGACCTGTTGGAGTGGGTCCAGAGGAGGGCCACAAAAATGGTCAGCAGGATGAAGCACTTCTGCTATGAAGACAGGCTGAGAGAGTTGGGGTTGTTCAGCCTGGAAAGTCCAGGGAGACCTTATTGAGGCCTTTCAATAAATAAAGGGAGCTCATAAGGACATAGGGACAGTTTTTACTGGGGCCTGTAATGACAGGATAAGATGTAGCAGTTTTAAACTGGAAGTGGGTAGATTTAGACTAGAGATATGGAACAAATTTTTACAATGAGAGTGATGATGCACTGGCACAGGTCATCCAGAGAAGTTGTGAAAGACATCCCTGCTCATAGCTTGAGGGTTGGAATAGATGATATTTAAAGGTCCCTTCCAACCCAAATCATTCTACGATTTTATGATACTATGACCAAAACCTTGGAGCGCAACAACAGCATCAGCAACTCACTGCAATAAAAGCATAATTTACATTTATGCTGAATGAAAGCAAACAGTACTAGGCATAAACCAAACACTTACCTATCTGCCTGGTCTCCCAAGGATCCTATAAATATGGCAAAAGCATTGACTTGAGTGTTGGTGGTCAAGACCTGTGCAAACTTCGATGGCGGAATTCCGTAACGCTCCAGATTTGCGTCACTTAAGACGATAACAAAATACTCGTCAGCCTCCTCCTTGGCAATTTCCCGAATGGCATGTTCTGTCCCTTCCAAGGTATGGTCTCCACTCATGCAGAACTGAGCGTGGGCATGCATGGTCTGTGTGCACAGCATAACCACGTGGAAACATGTAAGATAATTTTAGGAACAAGCATTCATTTCAGCTAGCACAGGAGGGAGTAAATATTAAGTACTGCTGTGTTAGGGGATCTATCAGAAATGCAGACAGTGCTCCAGATAGAAAAGAAGATGCTTTTTGTACATAATATGTCATATTTTAAGATAGGCAGCACTTTTCAAAAACACAGTTGGTCAAACAATCAAAACCCACACAGGGACTTAATTAGACTGGGCCTTAGGGAAGGTAAAGTACTTTGGTCAGCTGCAGTTTGGGTAGATACATTCCTAGGTATTTTAAGAAGAAAACAAGTTACTAATGCTGTGAACAGCTCCTGCATGTTCATAGTTTGCACTGGACTTCCAAATCCTAGTAGTGTCTTGGTTATTATCAAATATCTGATTCCTGACAGTGGCAGTCACATTTAAAAACGATAAAACATTTTGTTTGAACTGTTACCAAATAAATACACCATATGCATCAATGAAGCTGTTATCTATGTAGAAGACCAGGAATTTTAGAAGTTACTAAATCAGGTTCTTCTAATCAAAGGAGCTATTTTAAAAATAGTTTTTGAAGGAAGCTCAGATACATGCTTCTAGCCTATCAAGCTGCCAATCAGGTAAATCCTACAATTTTTCTTCATCCTACTATAGAAAAAGTTTGGTGAATATACTCGCTTTGCCATTGTGATTTAACATGTTTCCAATTTAGCACTGACACATTTTCCCAATGCTGCTGTGATGCATTACTTCTTGAAGGTACCACGATAAATCACTGACCTGGGACCCCTCTACATTTTTGAATGAGTCACTTGTACACTAATAATATCACATGATTTGGGCAGAGCTATCTATATCACTGTATAATCTTTGGAACTTCCCCTATCCTTTGACAGGAAGTCAAAATGACACATTTAGGGCGTAGAAGTCCAGAATAAGGCGTACCCAGCTTCTACTATTTTGGCCCAATTTGTTTTCCGCCATGTTTCTGTAAGGTCCTGTTTAAATTTAAGGAAATATACAGATTTTTGCTTTCTTGTCTTTATTTTACTATCCTCATGTTTTGTATTCTGTGACCTGCCTACAATTTTATCTTTGCAGTCATAAAACCCTTATTTACCAGCATCACTTTTACCTTAAGAATCTCTAATCTTTGCTTATTATTCTTGGGAACTTCGTCACTCCCAACCAAGGCGATGTTGAAGCCATCTCCTGAATGTCCAACAATGTCGTACTACAAGAAAGAAACATCATCAGTCACCTGTTAGTCACAAATGGCTCTTGGCTCACAATGACGTAAGACAGATCAAAGGCAATTTGCAATTTTCAACAGAAGACCCCAAGTACTGTTCCCTGTTTCTGTTTATGAGCTGTTTAAGGGAACTACTTGCAATTTATCACTGACACAAAAACATAGGAAAGAATTGCTAAATAATGAAATTAAGGAACAGTTCCTTATTTTCGTGATCTGTTTTTCACATCATCCCACCAAATGTAGAGTGGTGATGTGTAAGATCAAGACCTTGCCCTCTCACATTGTCCATATATTTCTTTTAAAGCAGCAATTTTCACCCTCTTGAGTCTGACAAACAAGAAGCACATTGTTTGAGAGTAGCTCCTATGTTTGATGAATCTTTTTGGTGACCTCATTCTGCTCTGAAAAAAAAAAAAAGTCTTACAAATCCCCTTTCTTGAAAATCAGCACTCCTTATTTTTGTGCATAACAGATCAAAGCCATTGCTGAAAGTATGTAGAGAAGTGAATTCCAAGAGCCCCTGTATGTTTTCAAAGGAGATGGTGTGCACATCATTCTCCTGTGAGATGCTGCAAAACTGACATGTAGAACCACAATAGTTCAAATATCCTGGTGAACAAATAACGCAATATTGCGAAGGCCTCTGTTTCATGTGAGAGCTTCATTGTTCTTACATGAAAACCAAGACAAGCTGAGTTATGGCAAGGTCCTGACCTGCCCTTTGTGTTATGGATGTGGCAGTCACCCCAGGGAGAATTCATGAGCAGGACAAAAATGGATTTAAGAGCTGTGTACACCAAGCAAGAGAGCACAGTGTACAGAATCTGAGCCCAGAGAGACTGAGCTGGCAATTCCTCAGCATGAACATGCCTGTATTTCCCCCTGCCTTTACTTCACAGACCTGCCTTTACTTCACAGGCAGCCCTGATGCAGTATTTCACCTTTCTGTTTTCTTTTTTTTAAGTACTGTTACAGGTTCCTGCTGGGTTCACCATCCCTAATTCCCACATAATCATTTGGTGAAAGGCAGGTCTATTCCTCATAGTTTTTCTGTCTTTTCTTTCCTGTTGAAAGACACTTTATTTGGTGTAAGTCAGGTCCTAGAGAGAGGAGAAATGGCAGTCTTTATAGACAAAGGTCTTTTTGTTTCGACATCACTAATTTGCTTAAAAATGAATCAAAAGAAAGCTAGAGCAGCTGGAACAACTTTTAAAGGCGACACCTCACTCTGTTAGAGAGCAAACGTGCCACATACTATGGATTATTTCACCCAAGGTCAGACCATTTTATGACAGCCCCAAGGAAACGAAACTTCCTTTCCCTAGGAAATCTTTATATAATCTAGTCCCCACACAATCCCATTTCTTTCTGCTCTGTTGGCTTTTCCCATTTTTGCTCTCCTCAGCTCTTACGTGCCTAGTATTTGCTACCAAGCCTCATGTCTTTGTCTGCCACATGCTTTCTCTTCAAAACCTATTTCTTATCACCAATAATGCTTCAGACTCTCTCTTGATGGATATGAAGACATGGCAAATGAAAATACACAAATTTTGAGAATAATGCTGAGGTTACATTCAGCATACTTCCTAAATAAAACAGGAATATATCCTGTTTAATAAAATCTGAACCACACACAGGGAATATGTGCATGAGTATTGTTTTAAAAATTAGAGACTGTTCAAATCAGAGGAACTAAATAAAGCAGAGGTTTAATGGAGCAGAAAATATACAGTGCTCGTGGTTCTTATGCAATGTCAGAAATGCCCACACATCTTCAGGGTAAGCTCTTAATTACAAAACCCTGCACATCCTCTGCTGAGCAGTTTTGCATTCGGTATCACTTTTAAATCAACAACCTAACTATGTAAAGCAAAATGCTGCCTTCTCCTGTGTAAAAAGGCTGATCCCTTTGTAGAAGGCTCCTTCCTGGCTTCCTGGCTTTCTCCCACTGGCTGTCCTTGTGTCAGCTCTGCCATACTGAGTTCATGGGAATAGGCCAAACTTGCTTGGGAATATCATTGTGGTTCTTGACATACACCAGTAACAGATCGAGCCTTCATCTCAAACAGTCTGAGTTTAAACTCAGTGTGACAGTCTGTGTAAGGGCAATTGCTGGATCTCCGGATGAAACACTAGATGCTGACCCTACAGCAGGGCCCCCCTCCACATTCTTGCACAAGGCGGGAACAGACAACCTGGTTACAGGCAAGGCGAGGCTGAAATGATCTGAGCAAACTATTGCAGGCACGGAAAGGCATCCACCTGGGAACATCATGTCCTGTCTGCTCCCTGCTCAGATAGCTGCTTATTATTCTTTGTGTGTGCCCATGCATGCACCCGATACGATATGTGTGCTTATCTTTAGCAGATGTTATCAGTTTCCTTGCTTCTTTGCTGACAGCTTACTATGCTATTTGTGATTTAAAAACATTTGGTGAGGCAGTAGGGAAGAAGTGGCTATTTTATTCATTCTGACTGCTGCTTTCTGGGTCAAGTAGGGTCTCCAGAACAACAGAGTGAGATCCTGCTGCGCTGGGGAAAAGAGGAGCTGTGGTCAACAGCCTTCATGCGCTGGTCCTCATGGTTCTATGATCTCTCTGGAAGCCAAGTCAAGGAGTAGCCAAAATCTAATGAGTGTGAGTTTGGTTTTGGGAAGCTCAGCTCCCCAAACTGTGAGGCTGGATGAGTTCATAGCAAGGGAATGTAGCTGCACTGACTTGGATTGACTTAAATCAACATAAGATTGCAGGCTGGGAGGGACACTCTTCCTGGGTGGGGGAGGCTCACAGTAAAGTTCTAGAGGTGACAGAAGAGACATGTCTGCCCAGGAGAATGTATTGAATCTGTCACAATTTAGGAAAACAGAGTTTGGGAGAGGAGCAAAACTGGAGCAAAGAAGCTCACTCTGAAATGGCAAAGAATAAAAATATTTCCTGCAGGAAATTATTACCTCCTCCTGATCTGTGTACTAGTAAATTAACCCTTAGATTTCATATTACCTTCGTGCACTCATTGTAAAGAAAAGGTGCAGACAGCTCCTCAGTCCTGGTCAACTGGGAGCCCCAACACATGCAGGCACATGCAGACTGTGTCAAAACCAGTTTCCTTCCTTTGCAGTAGCTAAAGACGAGCACAGAAGAAGGGCCTTTGAAAAGCAGGGATCCAATCTGATGCTTTTTCCCCATAAACTCCCTAAGGAGGATTTATGTGGATGGAGTTACAAGTGAGAGAAAAGCTGTGATACAATCTTATTTGAAACAGACTTTGTTTTTCTTTTACAAAATTGCAAGCAAAGGCTCTCAGGACAAATCCAGCAGCAAAACACATTTGCCATAGTGCAGCTTAATTGAAATAATATATTATTGTGGTACACCAGAGCTTGTTTTCCAATAGCCTCAGGTACACTGAGACAAGGACTGCTCTATTCAGGGTACACAATATGTAAACATGTATCTCAAAATATCATCATTTTGTTGGTTTCTTTCCATAGGAAAAGGTTAAAACAATCTCTGTTCCACTGCCACATTTTGCACTGAATGGATGGTTCATGCTGCCTAAAATGGGTAAAATGGAAGACTTTGTCTTCTGCAGCTGCCATGCCAAAAGGTTTCATTTCTGAAGGCATTAAAAAAGCTGAAAGAAGATGTGTGCTGAATGTAAAAGGCAGTGTGAATTAGACTCTGCTGGAGGGCTAGATCTTTATAAATTCATCTCTTCTTTGGACAACACCAAACATTCTATTTTTCTGAATTTATTTTAAATCTTTTGTTTATCATTTAAAATAAACTATTCTGCCAGACATGTGGACCATTTCTTCTTTTCCTGAATTAGCAAAGCTGCCTCCACAGTAAATTTTACAAACACAGAATGCTGGAAGAGGCATATAAAATCTTCAATATCCTTTCAGTGTAGCTATAAATAACAATTCAGGCTTTTCCTACCCATTACATAACATGCTATTTATTGAGTCACAATATTTTTAAGGCTTCATAAAATTGCTGTTGGATAATTTACTGGACATGCCTCCTCAATCTGCCATTATGTGTGCAAATCACAGTAACCGGGGAATGACAAAACATACAGTTTGTGACAGACATCGTACTACCTCAGATAAAAAAGAGAACAAACTAACAAACTGCCCTCCTGTGCATTGTCAAACAACTGGCACCTAAAATGGGATGTTCAGAAGATGGGCCTCCTGTTTTCCCCTTGACAAGGAATGATTCACTACTTCAATATCCTTTCAGTGTAGCTATAAATAACAATTCAGGCTTTTCCTACCCATTACATAATATGCTATTTATTGAGTCTGCACTTATGGGAAATGGAAGTAGGGAGGATGTTCCACATGAGCATAAAAAGCTGAAAAATACCTGCTGCACTTGTCTGACTTTATAAATGGTAACTTCGTTACCTGCTTGGTGCAGTCACATATCCAATACTCAGGCCTTCTGTATAAGAAGGCAAGAAGAAACTATTTTCCACCTTCAGTCAGTGCTGTTAAGATCATCAGACAATCAATATCATCCCTGATACCAAGGGGTACCACCCATGGGGAAAGCTCAGCTGGGTAGGATAAAACAGCAAGGAAAAGCCCATCTGATTAATTCAAAACTGTATGTAGCAAAGAAGTAAACCAAGCACCATCAGAAAAGTCATCCTGAGCAAAAGCCAGGAATTGCTTTCCAAAGTCTCCACTGCAGTTAGATAGCTGAAGAGAACTTTACCATGTAAATCCCCATTGATTAACAAGCTAGATGATCCCCTTGGTTCAACAAGTTTTGCAAGATACCCCTCAAATTTGCAGCATATGTTGTTGTGAGCTGTGCAGATGGGGCTACAAGAGGAACAGATAACAGCAGGCATATCTGAAGGCTGAAAAAGTCTATTTTTATAAAACCAGGGAAGAAGAGAATATGGAAAAAAGAAAACAGTGATAAACTGCAGATTTTTAATTGAACACTATAGAGTTGTGTGTTCTTCTTTTTCAAATGGTTCCTCTCCAATGACCCACTAAAAAATGACCAATTAGGCTGTTTCTTATATTTTTAACAGTATTTTGTATATCTAAAGGCATTCTCTTATCCCCAAATGCCTCTGCCAAGGGACTTTGTCAATTGCTTTTGGCTAAGGAGACTCTACCAACCAACAAACCAACCTTGCTTGTCACACACATAGATACCTTACTTCCCTTTACAAAACACCACAGTATATCAGATATGAGAAAGATATGCTACGTTTGCAGACATACCGAAACTTCAGCTTTGTCCTGACAAAAATCAGCAGCATCATGCAAAATGTCAAGAGTTGTACAGAATGGAGTCAGTGGTATTTTAAAAAAGTCATTGCCTTTCCTGCTCTCTGAAGCCTGACCCATAGATTTTAAAATTACAGAACTGAAGAGAGTTTGTAATGATCTTAGCTAATCCTCCACAGTGTGCTGGCTGCATGTCTACTCCTACATGTCATTCCTTTAGCATGCATTTGAGGGTTCTGGGTTCTCAGCTTTAGAGCTGCACTGGAAATAAGGACAAATGGTTATCTGCCATTGTGCTACATCCTTCTCCAGTGTTATCACTTTCTAAGCCATTTTCCTCAGCTGTATGAATGTAACATAATTTGTTGTTCAAATAAAAGCAGAATGAACAATTGTCCCTGGTCATCATTTCTGTTTCAGTCAAGACTTTATTTTGATTTTTATCTCTTCCACACGGAGCAGTTCTTACTAAGTGACTTGCTTAGTTATTTAGTCATTCCTTGTACCTTGTATGGGGACACTTCCATACCTTTTGCAATCTTTGTTACCCTCTTTTCTTTTTCATCTCTACAGAAACTTTTGTGAGATGGGGGAGCAAAATTGCACACATTACTCCTAATGTGAATGCACTATGGATGTTTATAGCAACATTCTCATGCATTCTCCTTTCTTCTCTCTTCTTTTGTTAATAGTTTAGAACATTCTATTAGTTTTTTTGACAGCTGGTGAGAACGGAGTGTTCAAAGAACCACACAACATAATTACAAGACATCTTTGTTGGGCACCAGTCTATAGCTGAGAGCGAGGACTAACAAAAAGCTGAGACTTTCTCACTGTGTATTTAAGACCAAAATTATTTTCTTCCATCTGCAGTACTTTACATTGAAAATCACTAAACATCACCTACCATTTTATTTCTTAATCACCTTTTATGGCTAGGTCCTTATTCAACTTCTTGTAGCTGGATTCCCCTTGTTACTTTCTCAAATAACTTCACATAATTAGCAACTTTTGTCATCTCATCCCCTTTAACAGATCACTCATGTATACACAGAACTACAAAACAGCATAGACTCTGGCACAGATCCCACCACAGCTCCACCAATGACCCACTAAAAAATGACCAATTAGGCTGTTTCTTATATTTTTAACAGTATTTTGTATATCTAAAGGCATTCTCTTATCCCCAAATGCCTCTGCCAAGGGACTTTGTCAATTGCTTTTGGCTAAGGAGACTCTACCAACCAACAAACCAACCTTGCTTGTCACACACATAGATACCTTACTTCCCTTTACAAAACACCACAGTATATGATATTTATCCTTGTGCCCACTACTTTTCTGTGTGGATGATCTTGTATTTTGCCATACTCATATCTGTGTTGCTCAGATATGCCTGATTTACCAAGCTACACAAATTATGCTGCATAATTGAACTGTCATTGAAAATATTTGTCCTTAACTTTTCTATTATCAGTTAGCAGAAGATACACGGACAGCAGAACCAACAAAGCCCTGATTTCCAATTATTTTTTAAATTACATTTGAGTTCCCACATGTTTTCTCTGGGCTAAGGTAGAAGTTTATGTTTACAGCATTTTCCTCCAACAGGATTACATAGCATTACTCTCTACCTGGAGTATTTTCATTATGTTTTCAGGAATGTAGTGACTTTGGGATCAAAATCATAGTTTCAAATTTGTTTGAAATTCTGCAACATGCTCTGTTTGAGAAAGTTTAAGGGCAAGAAAGCACTACTGCCAAAGAAGATGGTAGCACATGCCTTGTTTTCCTAGGAAAAAACATAATGCCTTTCTCCTTTTATAGACTATTCTCTTGAAAAATAGAAGCGTGCATGATTGGAGTTTAGAAGACATTCTAAAAGCACATGCCTGATTTTGTACATGCGATTCTGTGGAAGAACAGAAACCTGTAGAATCATGTTGTTGGAGAAACAAGGTGAAGCAGACCTGACTGAATTTATCTGGACTAAGTTTCTATTACCTTTGTTTAGGAGATTTTAAGCTTTGTTCAGATGTATTTTAATTCTTATGTTTGAGATGATCTTCAGTAAAGGTAGTGGACATTTCTATTCTTCCATTAAACACAGGATATGTTCAGAATTAACTGGAGACTGCCATTCCTGTCTTCTTTATGGCTAAAGAAACATGGCCTAGACCTTGTTTAGGCTTACTGAGACAAAACCAGCATTATATTTATTTACTTTTCATTTGCAGGCTACCATTAAATAACATTTGTAACCTAGTATGTGTCAGTACAAGAAATTATTTCTTGATTTCAGTTAACTAGAAGAGAGAAGGGACAAAGAAGTCTGGTCTCTTCCCATAACCAAGTACTGCTGTGTGCGCTCTGGGTGGATGGAAGGACGTGGCATCTCTGCATGTGATTGAATCATCATATTTACTTGTGTTTTGTAGGCTTAAGTGTTTCTTCTCAAAGAAACAGATAAAATCAGAAAAAAAAGCCCAGCAAATCTCACTAAATCAAAGTCTTAGACTGAATACTCCCCTGCTGAAATGTGTAATGTTTCTTACCCTCTCACTAGTATTATTTTTCAGGTTGCTAGAAAGAGATTAATGTCTTTATTTCTTGTGGGAATGAATAATATTCTTTGGCTAGACTGACTGCTGAAACACTTTTTCCAGTGCTGCACACAGGCTGTGCAATACCCCAGAGCTCCCAGCCCAGCTGCAATTACCTTGAATTTGTGCTCATAATTCTCAAAAGCTTCCATGACCATGCAGACGGCCTCCATGGAGCGCTCCAGGCGCCCATCCACCCCGTTGAAGCGGTACATGCTGCCGGAAACATCCACCACCAGGCGCAGGCGCTTGGGCTTCTGCTGGGGGCTGCCGGGCTGACAGGGAAACACAACAGAAATCAACCCACTAGAAATGGGAAAGCTAAACATCAGTAAAAATAAAATATTCCAAAAAGAAACACAATGCACTTCGCAAATCAAGAAAATTTTATCCAGTAAACATTTTTTGGTTTTGCCGTTGTAGTTCTTTTTCATGAACAAAAAACCCAATTATTTTTCTATTTCAAACCTGTTATTTGACAGATAACTCAGCTCACTGTTTCCTCCCACCTTCAATGACTGGAAACAAAATACCTCAAAACATTCCACATATGCTTGTCAGGAAAAACCTTTTTCTGTTTCAGTTTTGATTCTTAACATTTTATTTCAGTAAAAAAACTCTCAAATTTGGCAGAAAGAGCTCTTCCTGCTCTTTTCTGCCATTTCATAATGGTAATGCTTTTCTTTGGCATGCAGTACTAACAGCAACTGTATATGACTGTAAAAACTTGTCTGCTGAGGTTAATAACATTCCAGAAATGTTTGAAATCTTGTTCTGATTAACTACTAGTTCCATCTTCATTCTAATGTTGAAACCATTGGTTTTTTTCCTAAAAACAAATCCCATCTGTTCTAACAATTTTTGGCACAGTACATTCAGGGGAGGTGTTTTATTTAGCATGCAATGAGATTTGTCTGGATTCAAATAAGAGGCCATTAAAGATGACCTGACAAAAGAAACCCAGTCACAATATAAACAAATAGCTAAAATATTCCTTTTATTTGTAAAGGATTTCTGTACTTTATTCTTTTAATTATTCTTTTAATAGACTGTGGCATCCCTGCTCTCCCAGATAAAAGAAGAGAAGACCTATTAAATCCTCCATTTGTTTTGGTTTTTATGCACACACTTAAAGATGTCCTTTTTTTTTCCTAATTCAATTATTTTTACAAAGCTTAAAACTGATACATTGAGTAAACACATTTTGAAAAAATGAGAACTGATGATTCAATCACTTTTAGCCCCACTAGTTTTGGCCAGGTTTAGTTGGTCTGATTCAAGGGGTTTCTCTGCTGCTGACCCAGAGTAACTGTAAAGCCTTCTAAGGAATAGCTGAATCAGGCCATAGGACAGTCAACTTTATCATATCTTAATGGCTTTTCCTCACACTTTTTTTTCTATCATAATTTTTATTCTTGTAAATCCAAGTATCTGTGGAAGTTGAAATTATTTTCATACTATGGAATAAGGAAAATAAATTGGTCAAGCACTTTTCTTTTAAATTCAAAGGGGATCAGCATATTTGTTAACAAAAAATAAGTTAGTGAGAAAATATTTTCCTTTTTTCTATAAAAGCAAACAAAATATTTTTTTCTGCTAATTGCCTTCTGATCATTAAAATGCGAAATAAAAAACTGTTGCACTGGATCAAAACTTAGCACTGCCTGGATTGGTGTCCTCTTTCTGAGGGTGACCAACAGGAAATATTTATGCATGACTACAAGAAGAGGTAAAGTAAATTTTCCATCCAGTGGTTGCCTCTGTGCCAGGGACATCCCAAGCCAGAAATATTTTTCTGAGTTTCTCATCCATATAACCTGCTCAAAGTCTAAACAGAGGCCCTGTACAGCCACTATGAATTCAGCAAACTGGTTAAGCTCTTCTCCACCTTTCCCTGGCTCTTGTTGGATACTTACTTGTGGCTCAAGTTCTCCACGTCGTTTATATATGGCTTTTTCTCCTGTCAGCCCATCAATGATTTTAGCATCATCTAGCTCTCCAACAGCTTGGTGTCTCAGCCATTGTCTTTCTTTACCCTTGGCCTACAATAGAAAGGATGTGATGTGAGTGTGTGTCAGACAATGTAAGACCTACTGCACATGACATACACATGAATTTCTTTGTAATGATGTGTTAGTTTTGGCGTAAGTCAAAGAAATCCAAACACATGTTCACAGCTGTCCCGGTCTTCTTTGAAAGAAAAATGAACACTGACAAATAATATGTTCCCTCTGCTGCAACTTGGTCTTTTTTCAGTAGTTTCATTTATGGGAGTATAACTGGGAACTGCAGAAATCTTAACCCTTCCTCTTGCAAATATGCTGAAAATGTGCATGGCAAGCCTGTTCAGATACACATACAACTGAAGGGACACAAAACTGACCATTTGCTAGGTGTTTTCAATCCACACAGAACAAGAAAAACTCATTGGATGACTTAAAAAACTAAACAGTATCCATTTAATCCACTCTAGACAATGGTAAATGGTTGCTTTTAAAACAGTATTAACAGTATAAACTAATTACATATTCAAAAAAACCAACTTTTAAAATCATGGTACTCGACAGTCCAATAAGCACTTTCATTATAGTTAAAAGGACATTTGTTATCTACAGCCTGACTTGATGAAAATACATTACAATCCATGAACTCAAACATTCATGGAACTCCTGTACACAGAGCATGCAGTTAAGATTGAAGACTCAAATGTTATAATATCTTAAGCAACATATTTAAGCGTGTTTGCAAAGGATAGCGTCATCCTATATAAGGTAAAATAGGTTCATAATACATAAGATCCCCTAAAGACAGCAAAGTTTGTATATATGTTTATATACAAAACATATATATGTTTCCTAAAGACAGCAAAGTTTGTATATATGGGGCTTGTGCTTTGTTTAATTTGTTTAAATCTTCACGTTAAAACTGCTCATTGTAGTAGTAAGCCCAATAAGGAAAGACAATTTTGAATTTGTACACATATAATGCTTTTGCCCTCTCAGCAAATTTCTGGTCAGCAACTGGAGGAAAATCAAATATCCAACAGGACACAAACTGCCTTAAACACTGACTTTCAGGAATGAAAATTAATTCCTCTCTGATGAGCCGGAAGTCTTACATTACAGATCCTCAGTAAACTGCAGGCTTGGGATTTGAAATGATGGATCTTTATAGTTCTGTATAGTCAGGTAATGACCTCTTAAGGTTCAGAGAATCTTTGATTTTGCTTTGGACTAAATGTATGAGGTTTTGTTCCAGTGTAGAGAAGGAGTTCTGGACTTCAGACTACTGCTTATAATTACTCAAGATTAATGGACTACTTGCCCATGAAAATAAGTGGGCAGAAAGACTACAAAGCCACAGAAAAATGTTTTGATTACCAAAATCAAAAGCTTTACAGATGCTTCCTGATGGGAAAGAAAAACAATGTTTCCCAAAAAACACAGAAACCTCAGCCTTTTAGTAAATCACAGGAGGGAAAGTTGAAAAGATTTCTGAGGTTGTGAATTCAGTCAATTGTGTGCTCTGATACATTTCCATGGTGATGCAGTCAACTGAACTTTAAGCCAGTTTGGCAGTGGGGCACCCATGAGTTTGTACCACCAACTAGGAATTTCTACTATCATTAAATATGCCTGGGATGAAAGTTAAATCCCTTTTTCCATAGGATCACTGATCCCTTTGTTGCCTTCAGAGTTGCATAACATTCACCTGTGAATTCCCAGTGACCTCTACATGTCTCACCAAAAAAACCCTTTAGTTTAAAAGCATTTACAATTTTAAGAGAAAATCATAACTAATATATATAGATACACCTTGTTTTGATAATATATGTACACACCTTTATTTCTGTTAATGTCAGAGAAAAAGTTGTGTATGTGAAGCTATCACATCTAAATATGTAGCTTGTAATGGTACAGCATGTATTAAACACTGCAAGTTGTGGTCTGCATTTGTTTCTGGGAAAACATTACACAAATGTTCCCTTAGCTGCTGAAATCATGAAAACACTACTGACATGGCACAGGGTTTTTCATATTTCCAGCTCTTCAAGCCATGCTTATTACAGGACTACTACTATTTTACTCTTGCTGCTATGACCAGACCATTCCTACATGGTCTAAACCAGACAGTGCCCAGCAGGCTCAGTTACTCAGGTTTGCCCAGTTTAGTTGCCGGGGCCTAAATGATACTCAGAAGCTACAGGGACAGTTGCCCCTAGTTCTCTCTGCAATAATCAATAATAAGAGAAGTACTTTCTGGAAAGTAAGTCACCACACATTAAATAAGGTCTTTCTAAGCGACTGACTGACCATAACCTTTTGAATTTGGAGTTCAGACAGACAAGCTTCAGGGGAGAGAAGAAAGAGCCCATCAGTGACAGGATATCCTGGACTTCTGGCTTTGCTACTTCTACAGAAGATAAACAAAAACTCATTATGTTTTGATAACGTTGTTCAAAGAGCTGACAGAGATCAGCAAGTTATAAAAAGCAAAATGAACAATGAAATTACATTCTCAGACTATGTTTATGTATCACTTTCAAGGATCCACCTATTCCAAAAATCTTTCTGCTGCTACTAACTTTTGGAGAACCACAGACAACTGGACCCAGCCTCTTGATTCTAGGGAAGTAAAATTTAATCAAATGAATTTCTTTTAAATAAACCCACAAAAAACCCCCACACAAACAAACAAAAAAACCCAACAACAACAACAAAAACCAACAAAAAGGCATATATTGAAGAGAAAATCCAGGTTAAATGGACATGGGCAACATATTTTGATTATGTGAACACAGTTTGAAATAAAGCAAACTCAAACATTTTTAAAAAGCCAAACATGTTCTATACTGAGAAGATAATTTGGGATTTTCACAAAGTTAAAAGATATAGACATGTGAGTTGCAAATTTTACTGCAATGAACTTTGCCATTGGTTTCTCATTTCAGATATGAGGAATGACTGACTCGTAACAGAAAGAAAACTGTTCTAGTTGAGAATTCAGGGTGTACACAGGACTATACAGAAAATAATGGGAGACAGATGCACAGCTCTTCATGAGGGCTGGATGAATTACCATTTATTTTTACAAAAAACAACTTTTTTGCCCTCTCAAAAACATCACATGAAATGTGTTTGTACTCAGCATCCTTATTAACAAAAGGCATTTTGCAACTAATTAACTGCTATTGTCATTTATCTTCATTTTCCTAATTAATCTTCTAATAAAATCCTTCCAAAATCTACATACAAATTTATAAAGTTAAAATTTTTCTTTCACTATTGCTCTTATTCTTTGCCTAGCTTTTTCAAATTCAGTAATTTGTTTTATTCATCATAAATTACATTTCCTAACTTTGTGGTTAGCTGTTACAGGTTTTGGCAGGAAGTTAGCAAAGTCTCATAAAATACTGCAGCTTATAAGACTTTGCCTTGATATCAAAATGACCTTTTTTAAAAAAGCAAGAGGATATGCCTCCTTATATTAAAATATGTTATGCCTCCTTATATTAAAATATGTTATTTTTTAAATTATGATTAACATGACCCTTGAACGTAAGAATTTCGTCTCCAAGGGACAGATAAGACAGACTTAAAAAAAACTTCAAACTGAAGATTCACTTATTGATTTCATACCCAGAGTGTGCTTCCAATTGCATGTGTGCTAAAAACCCACCTAGATATAAATGTTGTACAAAACTGAGATTTACATCCAATTTTTTTTCAACAGAGACCTGTCTTTATAAGCCAAAAGTTTGTGTCCTGAAATGAAACACATATTAAGTGCCTGAATCACCTAATTATGTCCAACTAAAATGTTCATTACAGGAGGAGTTCTCTGAGTTGGTACATTCATGATAAAACTGGCTAATGGTTCTTTGTGTATACATGTGATTATAGTAATGCTGTTGTAGCTACGAAGGTTTAAAGGTAAAAATAAGGTAAAGAAATATAACTTTTCTTACTTGCAATATGAAGGGATTGGATTTCTTTGTCCAGAAGGAGGCTGTTTATCATACAGAGTGATTTCTTTCTGTATTTCAGTTTTATTGCTTAAGACACAGCACGGTGACTAACAAACTAAGGTATATATAAACTAGTGGTTAGTAGCCCTCAACAGAAATATTTATAATCAAATATGTCTTATAAGGAGTAAATCACTCTTCTTTTAATTTTCACTGAAGATTAGCAGATGCCTCCTAGAAACAATGCACTTACAATTTTATTTACCCTGTATATGAACAGTAGTATTAAAAAACCCAGAACAACCACCATGCCAGTTACCAGAAGAAAGGCAAACTGGTGGTTTTAGTGAGTTTCCACTTAGGAGATTTGGGCTATACCTCTTTCTATTACCGAGAGTTAAAAAAACCTTAGAAAAACCCATGTTTTCAGCTGCATATGTAGTAAAGCTCCTACCTGGAGTGGGTGCCTCTTTTAGCATCTATAGCATTTGCAGCTCACAGCTAAAAAATACTCTTGGACTGGAGGTAAAGACAAAGACTGGGCTCTACACACCTTCACAAATTCTTTTCATAATGTGTAGTAGTATTTTCTGTCACAAAACTGTGCTCCTGAGTAAGTAATCTCTGCAAGGTTGGGAATAATGTAACATGTAGAGATGAGCACAGGGATTCACACATAGGCTGCCTTTTAAAACAGTAATATGAAACTCTTTTTCCTAACTGATTATAACCTGACCTTGCTTTTAGCTTTCAAAGGCATGACTACCAGATGTTAACAGGATGTTAGCAGGATAGTATTTGGGGCCTAATGCAATGACCTCCCTGTGTTCCTTTATCAGAGAATCTAAGATTACCTGCAGATTGTCCAAGATGATGCGGAGTGACTGAACTTGACGTCGGACTGCTCCAGAGAACCTTTCGTAAGTTGATGCATCATATTCACTCATCTGAATCTCTTTCAATCTAAAGGAAAGAACAGGAAACTAAGAACAGTTTAGGAAACATGCATATCTTCCATTTACTAATGTAAACTAAATGTTTATTTACTTGGTAACAGGGAAATTTAGACTGCAACAAGCCTACGGAAGAGAAGTGGCAGCTGCTCTTGTGAATTTTTGATATGCAGATGTTCATCAACGTCTACAGGGACTGTATCACGTTAAAACTTATTAAAGTTACTAATATATGACTCTCACCTAATATGCTTTAAAGTTTGACAAGTAAATCAGAGGTTCTGAAAAATTTGATCAAATTTGAAAGGTTTTGTTGGCTCAGGTTTTGCTATCTGTACATAAAAGGATCATGAGTTCATTACTTCACTGTTGGAGTATTTTAAACATATCCTGATTCCTGCTTCAACACAAAGGTTAAGTAAAATAGTATAAAATCTGTCCTTGAAGACCTAAAAATAGAAACTGTTTCAAATAATTATCTTTGTGCTTCATTAAATGAAGAAACCTTGAAACAAAGAAGTTTTAAATGAACATTAACAAAAACGTGCTCCCCCCCCCCACAAAAAATGAGTCATGCACTATCCTGTCCCAAGGCCTGTAACAGAGAGCACACATGCACCAGGAAAACAGATACATGCTTTCTTTATAAGCAAAGATGTGTCCATTTCAAGTTCTGTACCACCTCTTGAACAGCATAGCTTAGCAGAGCAGGTGAAATTCACCATTGGAATGTAATTACAGAGGTGCAACAGTGAAGAACGAGCTAGGAGACAGGCAGATATGCTGGGAGTGCTCACTGTTCTGCTGTGACCCAAAATCACTCAGAGAGGCAGCAGTCGTGTACCTGCCCACCCCACCCCCAGCATGTGGCTGGGTTCAGTCCTGAGCTAAAACATATTGGCCTGTCTGTGCCCAGCCCATTTCAGACAAGCACTTCATAACAGCACAATCTCACTCACAGTGCTTACAAAAATACAGTGTTTTTCACTAAACTATAAATGGATAGTAAAATATGTATAGGCTAATTTTATTTCTAATTGCAAGTTTTTATAACACTATTACAAGTTAATTGCCTGGATCATACAGTATACCAGAGAAGTGCTGTTTAGACTGACCCTTTGAAGATATTAAAATCAAACATCAAATCTTTGTTGTCTCTATCCTGATGTCTTTTTCTACTTAAAGTTTTGCATACACAGTCACTATAGCCAACTCTTATTCATTACAAGTAGGAAAAAATAACTTTCAGTGCTGCACATTTAATTTCATGAATCCTGCCAACACAGTTCAATACATTCAGATCTATAAAAGAAACAAAAAGAACCTCACTTGCTGTTTTACTTTGTTGCACTCTACATAAATCCAAAGTGATAGGTAGTTCAGAAAAATATAATGAAAAATACTGCATCTGTTCCATTTTTGTCAAATAGGGCAATTTAAAATTTTTACCACTAGAAATATGATGTAGCCAGGAAAGCATCAGTAACTTTTATAGGAAATTTCTCCTTTCCAGATAATCCTGTATAAGCAAAGCAGTGAAATCTGCAGTTTCCTTTTTCTTTTTTTTCTGTCAACCTGAGGACTCCAACCTCCCTATTTTTATCTGTTAGTTCCCACAACTATACAAATGATACAGAATAACAATCCAAGTCAAATGTGGTTTCATAATAGGCTACATTTGCAGCTGGTACATGCTGGCCCATTTGGGTTTTGGAGGACAGGAATTGTTACCTCAGGTACAGATACCCAGATTTTACAGGGCATAGCTGTACTGTTCCCACAGCATGTAGCAGTAGCCAGGAATTTCCCCTTTTCTCTATTTTAGTGAATCACCACACAGGCAGTAGAAACTCATCAAAGCATGCCAAGTGGACATATGCACAGACAGATGTACAGTATCCAAGACCATACATATCCATTGTTCTATTATGAAGCAGCTGAGAAGCAATTTTGAAGAGGTGGTATGTTTTTTTTTAATACAAAATACCAGAGATTGACTTGAGAGTTCAGTTAGTGGAAGAAATCTGCATCTCTGTGCATATTCTGGAAAAGAGTTGATCAGTAATCACACATTACACTCATGCTGAGAAGACCTGCTGTTTGTGTTAATTAGCTGCTGAAGCTTAATAGTTCAAATTACAGAATCACAGAATATTCTGAGGTGGAAGCAATCCACAAGTATCATCAAGTCCAGTTCTGAAGTGAATGGCCCATACAGGGATCAAACCCACAATATTATTAGCACCATGCTCTAACCATCTGCCTACAGATCTTTCAAACAGAAGCAATTTGCTTGCAGTGGTCCATTTTGAAAGACACTTATTAAGTGATTAATTCCTAACAACATACAATCTGGATTCATCATAATGCAAAGAAATTTTCATATAATCTATTTCTTTTAAAAAAGATAAATATTTACCTGCATCTCCTTCTCCATCTAGCTATGTTTTACTTTACCAAATCACACAGTCATTTTAACATTGTGGCTTAATTCAATAAAACATTCCATGCATCTTGACCAGAACAGCTAAAAAACATGTGCTGGTAATCTCTGTTAAGTGATAATGAACAGGGTAAGGTAGCTGATAAATGCAGTAACGAAAGAAAATTATTTTCAGCCATCCTTTCAAATTCTTCTGGGAAATAGAAAAGCAAAGAAAGACTTTCACATTACCTCTGTTTAAAGGCCTTTTCAGCCATCTCTCGAGCAGCTCTCTTAACTTCCTCAGGAACAGCATCCTTTTCAGCCTGAGACACTTGGTAAACCCTGTGGCCAGCGTCCAGCCGATACGGCCCACCTTTGCCACCTAACCCAGCAGTGTCTCTCCCACCTAAGACAGTAGAGATGAAAAAACATTAGGAATACACACTTCATAAAAAAAATAAGAACAAATTTTATTTAAAGCTTCCTTTGTCATCTACACATGTTCCAAAGATGTTGTTAACAATCCCCAATTAAAATACTTATTGCCAAAGATTTTCAAAACCTAACAGCTACAATGGTAAACAAGAACTCCCATGGAATACTTGTGTTTATAGTTCCTTGAGACATGATTCATAATGGTTTCCACACTGTACAAAGGGGACCATAGAACATATAAATTTTGTACATCTCTTCAGAGCTCCTGATCCCAGACTCTGCCTTCTCCCTAGAATTTGTTGGTTTACACTGCTTCCAAATCACATTATCTTGTGACCACTATCATGACCTATTAGAATTAGGAAGTACTTTGCCCGTTCTGTGGACCTCTTGCCTATGCTATCTAAATTTTTGCAGCTACAGGGACATCTAAGAGAATGGCAAATGACTCAGCCAAGTTTCTGTGGCTGAAAGCTTCTTGTTCTCTGTATGGCCAGTAAAAGGAAACAAAAAAAAAAAACAAAAACAATTGAAGAAGAGATCTGCTACATACAGTTTAAGTTAGACATAGCAAATACTTCTTTTCTCTTATTTTACTGGCAATAAAACTACCCTGTATTGGGTAAAATAGATCTAAGCAGAGGACAGCTTTGTACAAAACCATTTTTGACTGGCACAGCATCTCGCTTAGATATCTGTCAATGATGAATTAAAAAAACCCAAAAAGAAAAACAATGAAATACCTGTTCCACCAGCCCACGTATTTCCACCAACATGTGGCATGTTGTCTGGATCCACTTTTCCATGTTTGGGGGAGCTGACATCCAAACCACTTTCCCTCTCAATGGTTATCTGTACAAGAGAGAGAGATGTAAATATCTCTTATAGTAAAGAAAATACCCCAACAACCTAATAATAACATACTAGGTGTGCTGAGCAGCTGTAGGACCAGCATTGGTTCAATAAATGCAACATTCCACCTCAGAACAGAGCAGGGTAAAACAAGGCTCCTGAGTGGCACATTAGACTCACACCTGAACTAAGGCTACTGCCACATCGGAATCCCTCTGCATTCTTTTCATATCCACACCAGAAATTGTTTCTTGATAACTGCCCAACATAACTCAAAATCCCCCTGTAGACAAAATCACCCGCAGCTCAAACACTTCTCAGAGTATTGTATATCCACAGCACTGCACATCCATTTACACATTTCATGTGCACCCAACTGCAGCCCCACGTTCCCTGTTGATGGGAAGATTGATCCTTTCATGAATAGTGACTAAAGAGATGAGAATGGCCAGCAAATGGCCAGTTCAAATGACAGGCTCATGGAATTCTCAGCACTGCTGCCTGGACCATAGAAGGTCTCCCATGCTGGGTTTTCCAGACCTGTCTGCTGGCGGTGCTTTCACCGCTGACTCACAGCACAGCTGAATACCCAACAGCTGCCAGATGGTCAGGGCTGAGTCACTTTAGGCTGGGGCTGGACCCAAGTGGGTGACTGAAGGCAAAAATTCTCCTTCCCGTTATGAACTCTGAGTCATGCACTAAATCAGTGAATCGTGTGTGAACTGCCTCTTACTAATCATCTGTAATTTAGTGCCACTTTATATTTTTTTAATGAAACCCAGTGGCTGAGATAGAAAATTAATGTCTCTAACCACTTAACATTAACTTTCTTCTTATCTACCATAATACATTAAATTCTCCAATGAATTTAGATGTTCCAATAACTATAATTTATTGTCTTCTCAGAAGTCCACTGGCATTATCAGGTTTTTCACTGTAGAGCAGTGAATTCACTGTCTTGCAGAATCAACTTCATGCTGACATGAATTCCACACATGTTTTTGAACTGAAAACATGTGCTCTAACAACACTGTCCTGGCAGCTATTCAAAATATCATTCTCTTTCCCTTTACAGAATTTATATCAATTCAAAGAGGTACAATACATCCTCTTGTGAACCATGTCATTAGTGTAAAATCAAGATCTAATCTGCTAAATTACATCCATTTAACATTTGTATAGGGAGAAACATGTAACCACAACAGCATGCTACCCTTAGGGTTATATACTTTTTTTGGTTTAAGAGATTTCCTCTAAAATAAACCGTTCTTTTTTTTTTGCATAACTGGTCGATTTAAAAACTATCAAAAACACAGATTAACAAAAAATGCTGAATTTAGTTTAAAACAAAATTATAAACCCAAAATGATAGTTTCAGCCTCATGAAACAAAATAAAATATTATTCTATAATGAGAAACATGAAATTAGGCAAAAATGTTATATGTTCATGCTTACTCTTTTTTTATAGAAAAATATTCTTTCTTCAAAAGAAAGCTCTATGAAACAAACATAACTATAACCAGTGATGCAAATGTCATATTCTATTTTTGTCAAGTTTTTCCATTGAAAAATTCCACTAATCATTTTGAAATACAAGCATTGTTTAAATCTTCAGTGAAAATGTCTGTAGACAAAAGAGCTTTTGTGCTCATATGTCTTTCTCAAGTATAATTTGTTTACAAATAGTGTTTCTAATACACATGCACTAGACAAGTTTCTAGTATAAACTGATTTTACAACAGCATTGATCTGATTAAATCTGATTAAAGCAGGTATTTGTAACTTTGAAACGGCATGTGGTTAATAGAAAATCTTCTGTCTTATAATGATTTTTTTGCTTTCTCTTCTTGAAAGGACACCAAACATCCAACATTTAATTTCTGCTAAAACTTTGAAAAAAATTGGTTGAGAAAGAAGAAAAGAAACAAGGGCTACAATCTATCATAGCTTCAGAATGGGAGTTCTTTGCTATTTTTCTTTTTATGTATAATTAATAGCTGAATTGTTAAATAATTTAAAATTCAATGATACTGGAAAGGAACACCACCAGCAGATGTGTAAATGCCATGCCAGTGAATTTCAGCAGTTTAATCTACTTTTCTTTTTAGTATCACCTATGCAGACAAGGTAGTAGAATTTTGCTAACTCTGAATACTTTAACAACCAAATTTTTACTAGCACAGGAAAAGTATTTTCAAATTTACCATATAATTAGAAACTGCATTATATTAGCACACTGTAGAATCCTCTGAAGACAATCTTCTGGATATATGTCCCTGGTTTTTCTTTGAGCTCTTAGATAATTCCCTTAGTGACTTGTCAGACTTTCCCCTTTCTCATTCCCATATCTATGGAAGGTAATTTTACAAGTTTCAGGGTAATTTTACAGCCAACAAATTGTCTCTACTCTGAAAGCACCTCTATAAACTAGAAGTTAGACTACCAAATACCTATATTAGAATTGAAGATATATTTTACAAATAAATAAACCGTAAATCAATGAGCCTTGACATGAAATCAGAGGGAGAATCAGGAAAAAAACTGAAGAGAAAAACTTTTGGATAATGACACATTCTTCAGAATGACAAATAAAAAGAGATGGAAGAGCCATAGGTAAGTCACCCCTCTGAGGACTGGAGGAATTCTTGACATTAGAAACTATTGGAAAGGTAGATTTAAGGGGCAGAATCCAAAACTGGATGGATTAGGAACCTGAGAAACTGAAGAACACTCAGCTGGAAATATCTAGTTTGTCTAGAGTGAGAAGGAAGACAAGAAAAACAGGTACAAAAGGCAGAGAAAGGAGTCAAGCAAACCTAAAATCCACACTAGCTTTGCCAAGCTTGTCTCACTGTAATTTCTACAATGAGTTTTCTATTACTGTTATGATGGTTATTTTTCAAATATATAAATGATTTCCTTGCTTAAAAGTTGAACTGTCCCCTCCTGAATATTTTCCATTTGAATCTAATTGCTAGACTTCTAGGAACTTTTTTCCTTTCAAAAGGTTTTGATTAATCACCCCTTCTTGAGAGAAATATGTGCTCTTCCTAGCTATACATGTACTGAAAGGCACCATTCATTACTGCACCATTGTGCAGAGTCCATACTGCCTGGTGTGCATATTATGGCTTTGTGAAACAACACACAAATTCAGCCTTGCAGCCTTGAGCTCCAGCTATGAGGCACAGGTCAGAGAAGAATAGCTGGAAAAACTGAATTTTTCCCTCTGAAAGTTCCTTTTGATTTCCAGAAAAACCCACTATTTGCAAAACATTCAAGGCCCACATACTTAATTTGTAAATTATCTAAACTTGTTTATATATATTGATGATTCACAATCAGAGTGTGAAAGTTCTTTTCCACTCCCTATTTGAGAAGGTTTTTTTCAAAGCCTTCATCACACAAGTAGCACAACTACTATCATCTCCGGGAATACACAATTCTAACTTTATTCTCTGTAGAGTCCTAATTGCCAGTAATCCTCAATGATCTTAGTCTCTAGTTTCAAGTACTTTTGTGCTCTCATTTTCTTTCTATATTCTCAGGCACTTATAGCAATAGGTTACGGGTATATTCATAACAACTTTGTGATGCAGGCTTTGTAGGGCTGTCAAATTCAATGAAACAAACAAAAATTTTGTGTGACAGAATATGAACAGTTCGCTTCAGAAGGATGCCAAAGGAATGTGCTTTTCTTAAGAGGCAATGGCATGAAAGGCTTAAGAAAAAGGGAAATTAAAAAACAACAACAAATACCATGAATTGTTAATGCTTTGACTTAATTTTCTGGTCCTGCCTCTTACACATCCATTAACTCCTGACAATAAGGGTAGCCAGACAGGAATAGAACTAAACACTGATTTTACTTTCAGTGAGAGATACATGGCAGCTGAACAACTTGCTCTAGATCAGGTCCTTCTGAAAAATATGAATGTATGACAAAATGCTTTTACATGGCTCCACTTTTTTTCCCCTCCCTTTTTCCTGATAACACTGGGATTCTAAGAGCAAACTGCATAGGGAAAACTGATACAAACATATTCAGTCTGGAAACTAAATGATCTTATCATCCTTCATGAAGAAGATAAAGAGGCTGAAAGAAGTCCATTACATGATTTACTGCACTCAACACCACAGTGAAACCAGGTGTTTCACATCTGTGCCATACTTATGCCAAACAGCCATTAAACACATACCAATCTGTAACAGTGGCCACTGCAAAGATCAGTCAAAGGCTGGTGGTTTTGTCTAGACTTCAGCTGGTCAGACAAACTATGGATATTGTATACTAAACAAATCTTGACTACTTTGGAAGTGGATCTAGAACCACATTCATGCCAGTTAAGTGAATGTGGGATTGAATTCTATTGAATGCTGATGTGAAATCATCTAATTTAATAACATTAACCCCTGGAGAGTAAGGAAGCACTGGCATACTTTTGACACTTTCACAATCCCTCAGTAAGAGACACAGGCTGTATTGAGGATCACACAGCTGACCCAGTACACGGTGCATTGCCACTACTACAGGCCACTGTCACAGCTATGGGAAGAAAAGAGCTTACATGAACCCATTAGAAAATAAGCCGCAATAAAAGTGTGGGAATTATGAAGATGGATGCAGTACTCTACTATTAAAATTATTGATGCCCCATATACACCCATATTTCATTCTAACTTATGAGTTATTTTCACAATGCAGTACTTCCCTTTTGATTTCAGAATTAATTTGCTTCTAATGCATTGCAAAAAAATCTCTCTGGCTCTCTGAGTAAAACTGACCAAAAGTGTTATCAAATTTAGCTTCAACTGATTTTGTGCAGGTGACCTTAATGACATTTTAGCATCCAGTAATCTTAATTGTACATTGCAGGAAAACTGAGAAGAAAAAAAATCTTTAAAAAGAAGATTCACCATTTAAAGAGGGTCGCAAGCAGCACAACTGTGCACTTCTGTATCTTAGCAAGTGCTATTCAAAGTACATCTGCATTGAATG